TCCACATGGCATCCTCACTCTCAACTGTGCCTTGAATACAGGATGTCTGACCTTTACCTTCTTCCTTGAAGGTGAAGAAGGCATAGGTACCTAAGTAAACAAAGCTGACATGGGACCTGAGGATATAGGGCCTCATCTTTCTTACCTGACTCCCAAACAATCCTCCTGGACCCTTAACCACTCACACTCTGAGGAACAGCTGGTGACTACAATTCCTGAGCAGTTCTGGGAAGTCAGAGGTACAAAGAAGTCTTCTTTTGAGCCTCTTACCTTACTGGTCTAGGACTCAGTTAAAACTATCACCTTCTCGACCCAAATGTAGTTGCCAGTATCTTCCCTTCCTTTTGAGTGTGTGCACACTTCACTTTTTTACTTTAGTAGGGTTTAGAGAGGAGGCGACAATAAACATGCAATCCTCTACAGTTTACTAAAGTTGCCACTAAAATTTTTATAAACTTTTTTTAAAATGAAAAGCAAACAAACTTGGGAGTAGAGCTGGAGAGACAGCTCTGTGGTTAAGAGTACTTGCTGCTCTTCAGAGGACCCGGCTTCAGTCCCAACACCTACAAGGCCACTCAAAACCATCTGAAACTCTGGTTTCAGGGATCTAATGCCCTCACCTGGCCTCTATGGCCACTGCATGCATGTGTGCACAGACACACATGCAGAAAAACACCTATACACAAGAAGACTAAATTTAAAAAAAAATCAACCTTGGAAGCAAATTTCTCAAAATACATCTCATCTATTTTATAACTATGATTTTATATCTAAGAAAATTCACAGCTACAATCACAGTGTCATAAAGGCAAAGGTCTTCCGTGTTTTATTTCTCATTGCACTATCTAGCTTAGAGGTGATCAGTAAATACACACTGAATAAGTAAACAAAGTTAATATAACTATGATAAAAAAAATTAGGACATTTGGTCTTTATGCTAGAGGTATCTGGGAGGAGGAGCCTCAACTGAGAAAATGCTCCTAACAAATTGCCTGTAGGAAGTCTGTATGGCATTTTCTTGATTAATGATTAATGTGAGAGGGCCCAGTCCATGGGGGTGGGGTACCAACCATAGGCAAGTGGTCCTGTGTTGTATAAGAAAGTAGACTGAGCAAACCATGAGGAGCAAATCAGTAAACTGCACCCCCTTATGGCTTCTGCTTCAGTTGTTGTCTCCAGGTTCCTGTCCTGACTTCCTTCAGTGATGAAGTATGACCTGAGAGTTGTAAGATAAAATAAACCGTTTTCCTCTCCAAGTTGTGTTTGGTCATAGTGTTTTATTACCACAACAAAAACTCTAAGACTCGCAGGACTGGTTTTGGAAATATTCCAATCAGACATACAGAGAGATTATCCCTTACCTAAAATGCTTGAGACCAAAAGTGTTTGGGATTTCAGACTTTTTTTTTAAAACCTAGATTCTAGCATACTAGCATATATAAAAATGATATCTGGAGGAAAAGACACAATTCTAATTGGAGAATTTATTTAAGTTTAATATACAACATGTCTGCATGTGTGTGTGTGCCTGTGTGCACACACTCATGACAGACAGAGCTTGAATGTAATTCTCAGAGGTATTTTGTGTGGGAAGTGAAGTTTATACACATGGGCCCAGCAGACAACCAGAGTTAGCACTTCTTCAGCCACCATGTGGACAACCTGTGGTTTTATGACATCACTTTCACTCCAGGTTCTAAGTTTATACACAACCACTAAAAAGTCATTCTCTTACATTTTTTCACAGTATGTATTTAGTAATAAAAAATAGGGCATTCCCTTTATGTAGAAAAAAAGCAACCCATGCTGTTAACTAAGCAGCGTAACGGCCTGTCTAGAACCATTGGGTTGGTTGCTTGGAGGTTTAATGGTTATTGGACACTATTTTATTTAAGTTTTGGTGAGAAGACACACCAGCGGCAGTTGACCCATGCTCATTCCTCTGTTCACTGTGCTAGCATGTCATTCAAGCAAGCATTTTCATATGTACTCTTCAGTGACCTAGGATTTTCTCTGCTCATATGGCTACATTTTGAAAAAGCTACTTTGGGGGAAAGCATGTGCCAAAACATTGTTTTTAATAAGAACTTCAGTTGGAGGAACAGCTGTCAAGGAATTAAAACCAAGTTTTCATCCAGTCCAGCTACACTAAAATACTCATTAGCTGCAGGAAAAAAGGTGAACCCAATCAAAAAGAGGTCTCTGGTGATGCAGCTTTCTTGCTAGTACAGTAATAGATTGGTAAGAAATTCATCCCCTCAAACAGCAAGAATGTAACCTTCTCCTACTACAAGCTTACAATCTGTGCAACATACCACCATTTATTTATTTATTGGGGCAACTTTAATTCATTCTGGAGCTATATCACTGGCTATGTGGACAGTGACTTTCTGGGCAATAAAGTCAAAGGGTTACATTTCATCAGTATTACAGACCTGTTTAAGCATCAGCTTTTTCTTAGTGATGATCTTGGCAAATATGGGATGGAATTTTTCTTCTGCTTTATGATAAGCAGCTACTTTATTATCTATCTATCTATCTATCTATCTATCTATCTATCTATCTATCTATCAATCATCTATCATCCATCTGTCCATCATACTATGGATCTATCTATCTATCTATCTATCTATCTATCTATCTATCTATCTATCTATAATCTACCATCCATCTGTCCATCATACTATGGATCAATTATAGATCCTTGCACACATTAGACAAGCACTCTTCCACAGAGCTGTATCTTCAACTCCTTTTTCCTTTTCCTTTGAAACAAGGCCCAACAGTAAGTTGCCTGGTCTGCTCTTGAAGTCACTTTGTTGTCCAGGCAGATCTTGGACCTGAGGTCCTCCTGCTTCAGCCTCCCAAGGAAAGGAAATTATAAGCCTGAGCCATCAGGCCTGGCTATAACTATGAATCTTTAAAACTTAAAACTGTGTCTTCCAACAAGTCTATTGAATACTTATAGTTATTTTAAATTTTAGTTCATCACAACTTGATTGATCAAACCATGAAGTGTCTTGAGTTCACTGTGACAGTAATAGAGCTACTTGCTCAATATTCTCTTACATTTTTATTTTTCCTATGTGTGTACATATGTACATGTGTATATGTGTGTGCACATGAGTAAGAGGACAACCTGAGGGAACTGATTCCCTCCTTCCACTATGTGAGTCCTGGGGATTAAATTCAGGCTGTCAGGTTTGGTAACTGGTACCTTTAGTCATAAGGCACCTTGCTGGACCATTTATCTATTTTTCATTACCTTCTACTTATTACTTGAAATCTTAACAGTTCCGCCTTCTGTTTCCTTAGGTTTGATACAAAGGTCATTCCTACACAATGTTCTTCAGTGAGCCATTCACATGAGCACTGCTGTGCAGCTTCTCCAGGAGTCTGCATTTCCGTGCTAGCAATAAACATAAATGCCTCCTCTTTTTCTTATCAGTTACCACATGAGGATCTGAAGCCCCTCTGGGATTTCCCACATATCTTTACACCACACAACAGAGAATAAATCAAAATTAAAATAAAAATAAAGTGAACAATTTACATAGGCTTTGGCTGCACATGGAGAGAGGGTCATTAAGAACCTGTTCTTGCCGGGCGGTGGTGGCGCACGCCTTTAATCCCAGCACTTGGGAGGCAGAGGCAGGCGGATCTCTGTGAGTTCGAGGCCAGCCTGGTCTCCA